TGTGTGTGTGCGTGGGGCAGGGGGAAGAGTTGTTATGAGAGGATTGAGGATTGGAACAGCCTATGGGGAATAGAAAAGGGAATCAGTTGGGATCAATTACTTTACTACTTTGAGGGCCTACTTGAGATTAGCTAGTATATATTTATAGTGAATTCAGTCCATTCTGCAGCAAGTTGAGGAAGAAAGGGAGAGGGATTGTGGGAGTAGTCCAGAGTTGTAATTTAACAAGGCAGAATAGGATAAGGGAACAAGGGACCCTAGAAAATAGAGTTGAACTGGTTCACCAAGTTGTATTGCACACTTCCTATTTTTTTCAAATGAGAGATGGCAGATAACAAGAAAACAGCCATCACTTGTCTCTACCACCTCTAATTTCTACTACCATCTTATTTCTCTACTTCCTTTTCATGTCGTTTCTCAAATTAATGGTCTACACCTATTGTACATTTTTTTCTGTTCTTGTAAAGGTCAGCAGGGATTTTCTTAAAATCGCTTCCTTGGCTTCTATGACACTGCTGTTCTGGGTCTCTTGTCTCTGTAGTAGTTTCTTCATCATCTGCTGTACTGACTCTTCCTTCTGCTCCTAAACTGTAGGTGTTTTTTAGGCTCAAACCTAGTGCTCTTGTCCTCTCTATACCTTTTTAAATGTTGACTGCCAGATCTTTTTATCTGCCTGTCTAGTCATGAAACTGAAGTTAAAATATCTAAAATTAAACTTCTATATTTGTCTTTTCTTCACCTCACCCCATCTCTTAAAAGGCAGGCTGCCATTCCTAATTTCCTTGTCTTTTTGACAATAATGCTACCATTCTCCCTGACCCCCAGCTCTCAAAAGTTGAGCCATGTCTTTCGACTCAGACATCCTTTATGTTCAGTCAGTGAGGAAGTTCTCTCCTTTCTTATTTTGAATCTTACCTCCTATATATATTCTTTTTACTGATTAACCTAGGCTTCATGCCTGGATTACTTTAGTCTCTGCTCTGGTTTCTGTCTTCTTGCCTCTATATTTCTATAAGACAGAGCCACATTTAATCTCCCTAAAAGATTGCTTTTTCTATATAATTTCTGCTCAAGAATCCTCAGTGATGTTTAACTGTACAACAGTATCAAGTCTATACCATTCTTTTGCTATCTATTCACAGTCTGGCTCCATATCATTTTTCCAGTCTTATGAGGAATCTTCTGTTCCACTTTGGCCAAATGCTTTACTTCTGAACCATTGCACAAGTTATTTTCTTCTACCTGGAATGCCTGGTTTTATCTTTTTCCTCTTATCCCACTACCCTCAAGTCTTTCTTACCTTTTCCTTAAGGCCTAGGTCAAATAGCATGCCCATAGTTTCTAAATTTCAGGACTGGAAAGAATTCTATTTACTGTAATCTCTTTATTTTACAGATAAGGTAATTTAGGCAGAAAGATGAGAAGTGATTTACTCTAGGAAAATCTAGCACCTTCTCCTTCTTTGCTTAACATACCAGCCCTCATTTTTCCCTCAAATCCTGTAGCACAGAGGTATCAGGCACATGGCTCACAACACTCCTAAGTGTAGTCCGAAGTAGATTAAAATGTCATTGAGAAATACTTAAGAAAATAAATAAAAATACAATAAAACATAAGTAATATTACATTTAAAAACTGTCATTATTGCAGCCTATGGGAGTCCCTATATACAGTTTACTGGCCTTGTTTATATTTATTGGCATTTGTCGGCATCCTGATCATTTTTTAGTAGAGTTGTTCATTTGTATTTGGTAAATAGGAGAAGCTATGAAAGATTCTATGTTGGTAGACATAGTCCATTTTTCGGAATGTTCTGTTATACATTGTGAATATTATCCCTAAAGGACACAGGTTCGTATTTTATTTTAGTACTTTCCATCAGCCCTTTGTAATGTTATTGTTACACGGAATCTTATTTTTAAAATCTGAAGCTTTAGAATAACAGACCTTTTTTGATAACAATCTCAGAATACGTTTATTAAAGGAGTTAAATAATTTAATGTTTATTTTCACAATTTTAATTTTTTTAATTTTTAAAAAAAGTTGGCGACTGGAATGATTAAGGTAATAGGATTTGATTATTAGTTCACGTGAAAACTTTTTGAGTGAAGTGGCAACTTTTCCCAAATTCTCTTGCCTGATTCTGAAAGACATAATTTCCTGGTCATTAAAGGGGTATTACTAAAGGTGGAAAGCTTAATTTTAAAAGCATTATTTTGGTTGTGAATGCCTAAGAGTGAGTAAAGACAAAGTGCAGTTACACAATATATTTTCATGACTATGATCTCAAACAATTTCTGAGCTCTGATTATACTGATAAAAAGCTATTACACTCCTTGTTTTGAGTGGCTGCTTTGAGTCTGCTGTCCTTAATCAGAAATATTTGATATACAGTTGAAAACAGGTTAAGTGTATGGCAACCTTGGTCTTGGCATCCTGACCTTTTTTAGTTGAATTGTTTACTTTTATTTGGTAAATAGGAGAAATGAGTGTGACTTGGGATAGGTCTGTCAGTATCAGTACATTAAAAACATTTAGCTACTTGGAAAGAAGATTTTTAGGTTTATAATGATGTTGGCCCTTTAAGATGTTTATATCCATGTGTTTTAAGTTTTTAATTCTAGTGATGCTGATGAAATGTAAACTTCAAGATTTGGAAACTCATTTGATCTATGGGGTAAGATAGAATGAGAAATCAAGGTTAACTCTGAGATTACAGATGTGGGAGGCTGGGTGCATTGGAAGAGGGATGGGTTTGGAAACAAATATAATGAGTTCTGTTTTGGATTTGTTGAATTTGTGATGTTTCCAGGACATCCAGTTGGCAATGTCCAATAAATAGATGGTTGGTAATGCAGAATGGAAGCTCGAGAGATATGAGTGGGTACTAGATATATAGTGTGAATCATCTGCATAGAGATGATAATAGAAATTATGGGAGTAGGTGATGTCTCTGAGAATGTAGTGAGAAAAGAGATGAGGCTTCAAGATGTGCCATTCCCACAGATAGAGGCTGTGATACAGGTAACAAAAGGAAACTGGACTTAAATAGGTGGATAGGAAGGAGGAAAGCCAAAAGAGAAGTGTTACAAAAACTTATAGAGAAGAGTATCTAGGAGGAGGAGAGGGTGATCAACAGTGTCATACTGTTGAGAGGTCAAGAAGGATGAGGACTGAGGAATGATCATCAGTTTTGGCAATCAAACATTCATTGGTAACTCTTGGGAAATAAGTTTCAGTTGAATCAGAAGCCAAGACTACTGAGGCATGGAGGGTTGTAAACCTACAGTTCTTTAACTGATTTCAAAAGTAATATGTAGACTCATCTTTGGATTATAGCACATTTATTAGGGACTTGATGGGCCTATATTCTATATATTCTGTGCCTGGACAGTACTATAGGAGAACAAGTATTCTACCTCTGTGGAAGATTTGATTGTGACATTGTAAGGTGAATATTCTCACATGCTGACATGCTGGTCTTTCTCGTATAAGCCTGAACTATAAATTTCCTCTTAGATTACTTTCCATTTATACTGTGTGTATATATATGTTGCATGTGCAGTTTTTTGCATATTGTTTCTCTCAGCTGCAAGAACCTGAAGGGCAGGGACCATGTTTTCGCTCTTCCTAGTTTCCCCAGCACTAGCACAGTTCCTGGTACATAGTAAATACCGAATAAAGGCATATATAGAATAACTGAATTTCCACCTATCTATCTTAGACTTCAGCTTTCCTGTATTTGGAGATGCAGACAACTTTTAATCCATCAGGTTTCAAGGTTAGGCATCTTCATCATCACATATGACAGATAGCTGGCTACTTTCCTGGAAGTTGTAGCAGTAATCAATTGGTTATTTCAAATATTACTCTTTTTTTTATCTATTTGTTTTCATAGAGCAACTTGGCAGTCAGTCAGCTAACTCAATTTCTGGTTTCAGGCCCTGGCCAGTTTGTGGACATAAGGGCATTTGGCTCAATTAATAATTGAAAGTTAAAATTACTTCAGCCTTATTGTGTATGTGGCTAAATTTATGATTCATCCAAATTGTCTTTCTCTCTTTTTTTTACATGGCACTTCATCTCTTTCTAAGTTCCGTGCCTTTGGAGTAGACATCCATTCATGCATTGAATACCCTCCCTCCTTAACTTTGGCTCATGGAATTCCTCACTTCCTTCAAGCATCACTACAAGAAACCTTTCCTGATTCTTCCAGCTGTTTAGGTCTTCCTCCCCTAATTACCTGTTACTTAACTGTCCTTTAAAAAAGCATTTATTGTGCATGTGTTTATGTATGTACAAGTTTCCCAAGCCACAATATAAACCACCTGGAGATTATTTCATTAGGTGTATAATATATGCTTGTTGATGACTTGATATGTGTTGAGCATATTGTAGACCTAATATAGTACTTATCTAATAAAGATCATATGTTTTAAGTATTTGATGAATTTTTGGTTATGGTGTTTCTTTCCACTAAATAATTATATTAGAATGAAAATGAACCCTGGAATAAGGTTTTCAGTGATCACAGACCAGGAATTTTCATTATTATGGTAAATTTTTCAAAAAACATTTGCCAATAAAATACTACTTAATGGAAACGGCCATGGTTATTTAATAGTTAGAATATTTCCGATTGGAATTAATAATTCCTTCCCCAGTTGTAAAAAGTTTCTTGATGTCTGTAATGAATCTGGCCACTTTTTTACTTAAACATTTGTTTTCATTACTTTAAACTACACCAGCTTCACTCCTGTTTGTATTCTGTATCCTAGAAAGAGGTGAGGAAATACAGAAATAAGTATTTTAGGAAAGGCAGAAATAAGTAATAGAAGGAAAGGTTAGAGAGGAGCTGGGCTGCTATTTATTTCATGGAGAAAGTACTTTGCAAAAAAACAGCAATAACACATTTCTGTGAGATAACTATAATTTGACTATGAACCAATACAGACATAATAATGGAAGTAGAAAAATACATTTTATCTGATTTATTTCAGCTTTACCAACAAGGCCGTTTATGTCAACTGGGTAGCGAATTTTGTGAATTAGAAGTTTTTGCTAAAGTGTTGAGAGCTTTAGACAAAAGGTGAGTATGTTAAATATTTTCTAAATGCAGTTATTTTCTTGTATAGAACATTAAGCATGGATTATAAATTTTTTAAAATTAGCATTAAAACCTAATAAATTAGAGAAACTTTTTTTAAGCAAATGTTTCAGCATTATATATCTACATGATATGTTTTAGTGCGAAGTTGTTGGAGGATAATTTTTTCATGTGAACCCTTTCCAAATTACAAATTATTTAATAGTTATCATAAATTATTTTTGGAATCAGTTAACTTGATCACTTCTTTGGAAAACACAGGCCAAGTTAAGTACCTAGGGTGCTCAATAAATATTACTATGTGAAATCATTCCTCTTGCTTTTGAAAGTAGGACCCTTATCAGTGGATCTGTGAAATAATATTGAATGAAAAGCATTAGATAAATTTGATACTCTTTCCTTTCTTTTTTTTAGTAAGTATTTTAATTCTGTAATTCCAGATATTTCCTTTGATGCTGTTATTTTCATTTCCATGTCTTTGCTGACTTGAAAGTGCTAAATTGTGAATTGAATCTCTAGTTCACTTAATTCATAAGGCATATGTTCAGAACCAAGTTGTCATTTTTAACTGATAGTCTGCAAATTATCCTTTTAATGTTACTGTATTCTGTTTACAACTCTATGTGATATAATGAATTTGTACTTTTTAAAAGTAGCAACTTTATTTTTTTTGCTCAAAACTTCTAGAAAGGAAAAATATTTTAAAAACAAGCCAGTATTTTCCAGAGGAATTAAGACATGATATTTTAATTGAATACCTTTTTCACCCTTTTAGACATTTGCTTCATCACTGTTTCCAGGCTTTGATGGATCATGGTGTGAAAGTTGCTTCAGTCCTGGCCTATTCATTCAGTAGACGGTGCTCTTATATAGCAGAATCAGATGCTACAGTCAAAGAAAAAGCAATCCAGATTGGCTTTGTTTTAGGTAAATAATGGGAAAAATAGAACAATGTGTATTATATAATGCTGTTATAAATCAGAATCAGACTTGCCAAACTATAGCAACTTTTTCTACGGTCTTCCCAACTACTATATTCCAGTATATTACTAAAAAGTGCTGTGTAGTTATGTTTCACCTTGCAGTTGCAAAGCAGCTAAGTGGTACAGTGAATAGAACATTGGATCTAAATTCAATTCCAGCCTCAGACATTCACTAGCTGTGTGACACTAGACAAGTCACTTAACCTCTCATAACTCAATCTCCTCGTCTGTAAAATGAAGATAATAATATCACATTCCTCCCCGGGTTGTTGTGAGGATAAATGAAATAAAATTTGTAAAGTACCTTGCAAACTTTAAGGTACTATATAAATCCTTGTTATTGTTGCGAAGGACCCTGTCAAGGTGATAGTCTTAAGTTATTAGTCCCAATTTGCAAGTAATGAGTAGCAGAACTACTCAATGAAGTGTAAACTTGCATTCATGTCTTTTGAGTCCCAAATTCCATGTTTTTTTCCATTCTACCTTGTCATTTACATAACATTTTCAGATGACTTGCATAAATTAATACACTATATTTTATTGAGGACGATTTTCTAGCTTAATATTTTGTCATTACTACTTGTCATTCCTTGATATTTTTCTTACCCAGTCACCTTTTATCTCAAACTTTATGTACTAGAAACATAAGGCAAACATTAGTACACAGATGCTAGGGAATAAGTAGGGGCAGGGAAAGGAGAGTTTTTTCAGCTTCCTTTTATTAGGGAAGAGAGTCTTTGGAAACCTTTCATCCTGTAGGTTAGCAATGCTGCAAAACAAGCTGTCATAGCTGCTATAGTTTCTAAAGTTGGGCTTTTAATATTTGCCAAAACACGGGCAGCTAGGTGGCACGGTGGATAGAGCACCAGCCCTGGAGTCAGGAGGACCTGAGTTCACACCTGGGTTCAGGCACATAATGCTTCCTAGCTATGTGACTCTGGGCAAGTCACTTAACCCCAATTGCCTCACAAAAATAAATAAATAAACAAACAAATAAATAAATAAATAAAATTTGCCAAAGCACCAATTTAAACATTGAAGGTTTCAGAAATTTAACACAAAGACTTTGTTATTTAAAAGCTTGTTTAAGATATATAAAATAAAGCATGTTCAAATAATAGCAGTATTATTTTGCTAGTTCTTTAAGCAGTGTTACTTAACCCACTGTGGGTCTAAGAAGATGTTGTTGAAATTGGGGGTTGTAATTTTTGAGGACATTATAGCCAAATTCTAGTAGCATTGTACAACAGTGATAAAAGGACTGAATTTGGAGTCAGAAGGCCAGAACTTGGATGCAAATCCTGCTATTTACGTAATTACCTCTATGACCTTGGATAAAGCACTTGGCTTCTCTGTGCCTAAATTTCCTCATCAGGAAAATTAGAGGATTGAACCAGATGACTTCTGAAATACCTTTCAGGTTTGAATCCGTTTGGCTAGAGGTAAAAAGCACCAGACAGCTATTGAATACCAAGTTCACTTCCATATAAATGAGATAGCTCATGATATCCTTTTCCTTCTCAGTCTTTACCTTGCTTTTACCATTAATGTATTTGTAGGACTTTTTCCCCTTTTATGAGAGGCCTGAAGAGTTTATAGGATGAAAATATTACCTAATTACTTAGTAATGATACATGATTATCTACAAAAGTGTAGATTTATTACTGCATAATCAGTATCCTTGATTCCTTAAATTATAAAATTAATTCCTAATTTCCAGATTATTTCAGAATGCAAAATATCCCATTTTCCATGTCATTAATTTGTTTCATAGAATGCAAAAAAAAGTATTTATAGAATGAAAATAATTTGGTTTTCTTATTTTTTAGGTGGCTTTCTTTCAGATGCAGGTTGGTACAGTGATGCAGAGAAAGTTTTCCTGTCCTGCCTTCAGTTGTGTACTCTACATGATGAGATGCTTCATTGGTTTCGTGCGGTAGAATGTTGTGTGAGGTAGGTTTGACTGCCTTGCAGTAAGCTGTATTGGTGTTGAAGTCCACAGTGTGGTTTAAATAAAATATAATATTGTTGTGCATTTGTATTATATATCTTTGCTGCTGTGCCCCTAGATATGTTTAACTTCCAACAAAGATTTTGAAGTGTATTTGTATTATATTTGGAATGTTCTTTTAGTCTTCATGTTGCGGTGTAAGGGGTTGAGAGGTTGTGACCCCTCAAAGACTGGAGCACAGAATGGGTCATCTGGAATGAATTCACAGACTCAAGCATTCTTTAATTCAAGGTGGCAAAGTTTATTGTTACGCTTTTCAGTGGGCAAGGATTCTTAAGGATCCTGCAAGAGACTGAGAATGCAGCTAAGGTTTATATGGAAAAGAGCATGGGAAAGTAATGCCAGGGACACTGATGAGGTAATCCAAAGGTGCAGGTGTCTTTGGGGGCTATGGATGGGAAAGTACAGGGAGTATACTGGACAGGGAGGGAGATGACAGAGATATGGATCTTTGGAGTCTGGCAGGAGGAAGAGTCCTGGGGCTGGGCAAGGCCCCCCTCTCCCTCTGTCTTGATGAGAGAGTGTTTGGCAGCAAGGGAAAGCTTTCTTACAAGACAGGAACTACTAAGGAATTGGGAGGCTTCCAGAGATCTGAGGACTGGGGCCTGAGCAGCCCAGCTCTGTGTAGTAGCTATACCAGGGATAGAGATAAGGGTTGTGCTGAGGCCCATGCCTGAATAACCACTAGGCACAGTGTCCTTGGGCTGGGGAGAAACTGTCAGGGATAGTGTTTTTGAGGCTAGGGAGAAACTGGGGTACAAGTACAAGCACCCAAACAGAAGCACCAAAGCACCCCATCATTCCCCCCTTAAACAGATGGGACCCACAATCTTTTGGGGTAAGGGACAAAGGTCTCAGCTTCTGAAACTGCTTCCTGGTGGGATTGGGCGTAGAGCTATCCCTGCCTCCAGGGGTCCCTCTGGTCAAGGAGTCGGTTCTCTAGCCAGTGTCTGGAACTTGGCTGATGCCAGGTCCAAGGGGTGATGAGCTGTGGTCTCAGACAGATGTTGGTACCCAGCCTGAACAGTCATCTGGAAGTGGAGGGCACTGAGCCTAGGGGAGACAAATCTGGCAAGGAGATCAAGCAGACAAGGCCAAAAAGAAGTAAAAGGAATATAATCAGGAGTGGGACAAGAATAGTAGTTAACATAGAGAGAAGCCAGGATCCTCAAGAAGAGGATGACCCTGGTATACTAAGGGTTGTTATGGATGTCTCACATTCAGGTGACTTTCTGTAGTCCTATTGAGCTCCACCTATTGAGAGTTGTTGATATACATACAGCAGGAGGTGTTGGCCAGGGCACAGATACCTCCACTAAGCAAGTAGATAATCCAAAGCTATCTGATTATCCAGGACCACATTTGCCAGGGAATCCAGAGGTTGCTGAATATCCAGAAACTATAAGCTGTGTCATTTGCCAGTTGGTGAATGGTCCCTGTCACATTTGAAAGAATGAACTCATGTTGTAAATGTCCATACCGAGGCATGAAATACTCTGTTCCCTTTTTAAGGTACCAGAAAGCATTGTCTCAGAACCCATGCTTTACTCTTGTTAGGGTGGAGGTGCTGGGTTTAGTAATATTGAAAATGGTCAGAGGTGGTGCCAAAAATCCAAGGGAGCACACACCAAAATCCTTATAAGGTGTTAAACACCAGGTGGCCAGAACAACAGTCCTGGGGTCCTGCCAAGTAGTGGCATTTTGCTTTACTTCTCCAGAATCCTCACCACCTGGCCCACCCATCCTACAAAGGAAGGAGTATCCCTTAGGGGTACAGATGGGGCCTGTTTGTAAAAGGTGCTGAGCATGGATGCTTCATGGATCAGCATGATTACATGCTAATGTTACAGGTGAGAGAGAAGCTTTCAAAAGATCAACAAGAGTGTTATAGCTTCAAGGAGGGGCTGTAACATTGTGTGTCAACTGAGGAGAGAAGGTTAAATAAGAAATACCTACTAGGAGAGTGACAGGAAGAATTTGATCATAAGTGCAAGTAGGGAGTGTTCCATCAGAACAGGTGGTACAGCTGGCAGAGGTAAACTTCTGGGGACACATCACTGTAGGCATCATTACAGGTGGTGCAAGTCAAGAGACTAGCAGAGACATTTATAATCCCTCTCCTGCCAAGAGTCTTTACCTGTATGGTGGCCATAGAGCTTGTCTCCCAAGCAAGGGAATAATTTCTTGTTGAGAAACAGGATGTGAAATTGAAAAATTTTCCCATAAAGCAGTGGCCAGTATACAAGGGGTGGCAAAGACCTCTGAGGTGGTTATATTAGGGAGGGGGGCTCTTGCAAAAACTGCTTTAAACAGAAGAGGTTCCTAACTTTAACCTCACAACTGAATAGATACACAATCTTGTTCCACAAACTTGTTTATCCTTCTCTAATTATACTTCAGAAATTGAATCTTTTACATATGATAAATTCAAACATTCATTTTCTTCTTAGGCCATGGGATGACTACAAATTCGGATCAAAACAGCAAGATCTAACATACTTATATTGTGCTGATATCTTTTACTGACCTCTTGCTCTGATCAGAGAAATCTACTATAAAAGGAAAAGGCAGGGACATGTAATAATCCAAATATGACAGGATAGAATATCCTTAGCTCTGTTTGAATTCGCATAACAGTCACAGTTCTTCAGTCATGCAGTATCAATTCCACATCATAGCCAGACTCAGGAATAGTCAGATGGGAAACATTCCTTCTCAAAGGAACAATAGGGAAACTGAGCCAGGAGGATCCCATCCTAGATTGAGGCTAAGATTGTCCTCACAGATTTTTCCCAGATGCAGATCCCCCCTGTTCTGTTTTTGTTCTGTTTTTTTTTGTTTTGTTTTTTGCTTTTAGGCAGTTGGGGTTAAGTGACTTGCCCAGGGTCACACAGCTAGTTAAGTGTCAAGTGTTTGGTCTGAGGCCGGATTTGAACTCAGGTCCTCGTGACTTCAGGGCCAGTGCTCTATCCACTGCGCCACCTAGCTGCCCTTTTTTTTGTTTTTTGTTTTGTTTTTGTTAATATAAATTTTTTTTTCCCTAGTGAGGTAATTGGGGTTAAGTGACTTTCCCAGAGTCACACAGCTAGTGTCAAGTGTCTGAGGCTGGATTTGAACTCATGTCCTCCTGACTCCAGGGCCAGTGCTCCATCTACTGCACCACCTAGCTGCACCCTCCCCCTGTTCTGAGTAGCTTGTGGCATTTCTAACAGACACAGACAACTATACCCAAATTCAAACTCAAAACAAAATTAGTTATAGTCCCAAGAGCCTTTTACCTCAAACAGCAAGTTTTACTAATCACAGCTTAAAGCCAGATACAGTTAATTTTACTCCCATGGAGTTGCAATAAGCAATAAAGATTTACCAGGACTCACATACATAAGAGATTTCACTTAACAGCTTTCTTTCTCAAATTTAAACTTGTCCTGGTGTGAAAGCCAATCATTAGAAATCATTTCTATCTATTGTACATAAACTTGAAACTTCTCAGCAAGCCAAGTTCATTGTTTAGGAGCTCCAAACGAGTTCTTTTCTCAGAGCAGATGACCTTGCCCACACGGATTTTTTTTTTCCAGGGACCAGGGCAAGTTTACAAAGTAAGGGGAATTGCCTTATACCCCAGGGAGGGGCTAATCCTGGTGCCCCTGCCTGCCGACTTCTTTATCCCAAGGAGGACTGTTTTGAATGGGCAGAACCAATCTGGATGAGGCTTTTACCCAATTCCCTCCTTTTCACACAGTAATCAATTAACAATTCTAGGTTTTAACATTAAAACAGTAACTTCAAATAACTTAGTTAGCAATCTTATAACTTTCATAAGTGATAGTCAGATTGTTTTAGCTATAAGCCCTTCTTTAATTACAGGTAAAGGTGGGAAATACCTAGTTTTCTAAATGACAGCTATAAAACATTATGAGACAGGGTTAGCAGGGCTGACAAAGTAATATAAGTGGTTTTACACAGTTTTCCCACTGTAGTTTCTTTAAGTTCACACTTTAATAACATCCAAATTATGAAAAACTGCTTGACAAAACAATACAATTTACCAATTTGGAACAATACTAGATTTTTCAAACTTAAAGCAAACACATTACCAATCTGATGACTCCAATTCTGTTGAATGCATTTCCAAATTTCCTTACAAAGAAAATCAGGCACCTCTTCACCATTGACATTGCATACTGGTCACATCTAATTAAGAAACTAATAACAGTAGTTAACATTTGTATTACCAGAATGAATTAAATTACCTTTTGGTTTTATTCCAGTACACAAAGACTTTTCTCTTTTATGGGAGGCAGAAAAGATTAAGTGCTACCTCTGTTTATGATCTGAGGGGAAAAGATTCACCCTCCATATCTTTCTCTCTTCTACATTTAACAGGTTGGCCAAGGTTGGAATGTAAAGAGAGAGAAGGAGAAAGAATTTTTTTTTCCTAACAGTTCTCCAAAAGTTTCAAAACCTTTTTATTCTCAAACCCTCTATTCACACTGTGCAAATAAATTATACCTTCCTTGAGCTTTCTGCACAAACTCCTCTCTCCTACATGCTCCTAATTAACCCTCTGATGGACTTTGATTAAAGTCCCTTTAAAACTGCACGTTATCTTATTTCTTTCTAATTCTGACCTGACACTTCAGTGATCCTTCTCAATTTGCTTTTTACCAAAAATGTAACCTAAATAATAAAGTATTTTTCTCTCTTTCTCATCCACCCACTCCTCTGAAGCTGCTGTTATTAGGGAGGGAAAGGGGGAGAGAAAAAGGAAAAAAAATGCCATTCCAGAGTCCAGCTGCAGCTCTGGCTGTAAAGTTTCAGATTACACACAGGTGCTCACATACCACACGGAGAAACACAGAACAGATAACATGATGATGACAGGGATAATCCAAAACCTCAGAGAGACTTCCCCTGCACAAAACAGACAATTTTTTGTGAT